CAACTGAGCGCTTCATTCTGAAGCTTCTCTCCTTCTCGTTAGGCTTTAGGCGAAAATCCTCATCCTTCTGGTGCTCACTAGTTTTAAGCGCATTGAGTGCCCAAGATGCTTCAAATTCTTGGAAGAGAGCCTTTTATCAAATTGTAAGCTTTGTTTCGAAGAACGTTGTTGTTTTTGTTGTTTTATTTTTGGAATGTTGTTACGTTGCATGTAGATTGTTGATGTTGAATTTTGTTGTTGAAAATTGGTGATATTTCACAATACTGATTGTTACGAACCGTTTTGTGGTACTTTCTTCACAAAATTATCGATCGAAAATATACAAGTTGATAAAGGTACATCCACAGGACTATGTGGCACTTGACAATACTGGCATATATGCAGAGAATGAGCGCATCGACCCAGAATAGAGTGAATTTCCTTCCCTATTTCTCCTGAGTTGGCATGTGAGGAGACGTAGAAGTGGCATTGTAATATTCCTGTGGCCAAATCTAACATGTTGCGGTGATTGCATGCAACATGGACTTATGGAGCCCATCGTTCCACTGGACACAACTGCGCCAGTGATTAGGTCGCACTCTCGCCGCCCGTATTCATGTCACCGCGCTCGCGCTGGCGTAGTGTACTTGGCTGGTATCGTCACAACCTTCGGGGAGTGGGGGGGGAGGTATAAGGAGCGTCACTCCTTTGACACCAGTTGTAGCGCCTCTTTGACACCGTGGAAACTCCTACATTACATTCGTATTGCATAGGGTGGTGGAGCAATGCCACTTACGCCGCAAGGTAGACCTCCTGACCCGCTCTCGCCTATAGCTTCCAAAAGATCTTTTTTATATAGCAAGTGATGTCCTACTATTGCACAACATAAATAAATATAGTATAGCTGAATCCAAGGGCGTAGTCCAGGTTCCCAGCAGACCACATGGTAGAAGAAAAAGAAGGGTTTCTTTCTCCTTCCATAAATCAATGCCAGATGTCTGTACATCGCAGCTTTTCATCAAGGCTACTCTGTATATGTAACCCTTACCCCAAGGATGCTGCATCCGTGTTGCTGCGATGCTTCCAGACAGGCGGTTGTTGTAGCTAGTTGACTTGACAAACATCACGTTGAATTAATTAGGTCCTTATGGCAGGGACAAAACAATCGCAATCCGCCGCTCTAATGAAAGTCGCGTGCGACGTCGCGCCCAAATGATGATGTTCTAGGTTGTAGATGGCGACAATTGGCAATGTCTAACCTAAATTAGCCACAAGTGCCTCTGATGTCAAGATTTTACAAATGGGGTGCTCCAGTCTACATGTCAGTGCAAAGTAAAAACAAGCCGCGCGCGACAGCACCGCAATTTACGATTGTCTTGACCGTCACTCATGCTGCGGTACATTTAGGCTCATTTCGTGTAGATTTTCGCAAATTACGACCCTCATCCTGATGTACTCCTTCAACAGGACTCCCTTCAGCAACCTGCCTTTCTTCTGTTGAAAATTTCCTCAAGAATGTTGCTGCTGACAATAGCGATAGTGGTGGTCGATGCTGTCAATCGGCTGTAGGTTTTATGCCTGTTCCACAGGCGAAAGATAGGATCACTGTCGCCGCTAACTCGTCCGGATCAATATCCATCTTTTTGACATTGTACACTGAATAATAATAAGTTTATCACAGGAGTTCTACACATGATACGGCACGGCGGTAAAGCTTTAACAAGAATACT